AGCTGAAGAAATAAAGGCTCCTCAGAAGATGTGAGATGTTCTGGAGGCTTGTGAATGAAGCTGATTTTAAATGGTCCTGCAGTGTGAAATATGAATTTGTACTAATGTTGGTCTCTAGATGAGTATGAGCTTGTTAAAGCTGCATGTGAATGAGTGAAATACTGTTTCAGATGCTGCACATTCAGCTGTGATGAAATAATCAAAGCATGTTGTTAATTAGCTTCCGATTCGACTGCTGTAGTTGTATAATAGTTGTTCTGTTGATGCTGGTGGAGAATCAGGACGGATGAATGCAGTTTTTCCTCTTTGCTTATTGAAAAGGTCAGAAGGACTAAAGCAGGAAATGGATTTCTGGACGTGGTTCGTTGTCATGGATACGGCCGAGCCGTCCAATGATTCGCTTCCGATTCGACTGCTGTAGTTGTATAATAGTTGTTCTGTTGATGCTGGTGGAGAATCAGGACGGATGAATGCAGCTTTTCCTCTTTGCTTATTGAAAAGGTCAGAAGGACTAAAGCAGGAAATGGATTTCTGGACGTGGTTCGTTGTCATGGATACGGCCGAGCCGTCCAATGATTGATCAGCCGCCGCTCGCGCATGTTAATATGAGTTTGATTCAGAGATTCGTTCAGAGTTCAGAGGAGTCGATTCTAATGAATCACAGCAACAGAAACAGTGTTTGCTGAGTTTGACTGTTTACATATGCAAATGAACCCTCATCATCAGCATATGAAAGCTGCCTGATTCAATGAGAACAGAGCATTATAGTTAAATAAAACCATTAAAAAAATTTTTTTTATTACTAGTTTGCAAGAAATGTTAATTGAAAAAAAAAAGAAACTTATTTTATTTCAGTAAATTAAAACTAAAACCGAAATAAAATCCAATGAGAACAGAGCATTATAGTTAAATAAAACCATTAAAAAAAAAGTTTTTGTTACTAGTTTGCAAGAAATGTTAATTGAAAAAAAAAGAAACTTATTTTATTTCAGTAAATTAAAACTAAAACCGAAATAAAATTAATAAAAACTATATAGACATATAATAATAATAATAATAATAATACCAAAAACACAACAAAATTACTGAAACTTTAACTAAAATTAAAATGAAAACTGAAATTATAA